TGTTCTGCGCACGTTGAAAACTTAAGCAAATCAAGATCCAGATGAGTCTCTGCCCCTGTGTGCCAGTCTGTCTCTCACTCACTGACTTTCACTCTCACAAACTTTTTTCCTCTCACAGCGCCAAAGCCTGTTTCGAGGGCCAGCAATACGATCACAGCTCACCCACGCGGAAGTCAGTGACACTTTGGGGCGTGCTTTCTCTGCTCGCAGGCGGCGTGTGTGTGTGTGTGTTTGCGTACGTGCACGTTGCGTGTTTCTGTACATGTTCATGTGTTCCTACCTCTGGCGGAGAGCTTCTTGGTGTTGATGATTTTGGCAGCAAATTCCTGTCCAGATGAGATTTTCACACACCTCCGGACCACAGAGAATGCGCCCCTGAAAGTAACACACACGCAGAAATACTTAATGGTGAAAAAAATCTCAAAGTAACATGTGATGATACAGAGATGATATGATACATAAGCAAAATTTATGGAAATACACCCGATTCAACTGATCGTTTTTCTTTATGAAATCAATCAATCAATCAATCTTATTTATGTAGCACCTTTCACACACATTGAATGCAATTCAGAGCGCTTTACAAGATGAGTTCTGATGCCTTGGAGCTTGAAACAGCCCTCACATGTCCTAAGTGAGTATTAACAAACATGACTGTGCTCAAATTGAAGTTTTGGCAGTGGCAGGCTGGTGTGCACGTTTGCCGGTGCCCGTGGTCTCAATGTATCGTTGATTTACACAAAAGCATGGGATGTAGTATCTCTGCAGCTTCTCGCACCCCCATAGCTTACAGTACACACTGTCCTCATCTCTACACGAGACCACGGGCACCGGCAAACGTGCACACCAGCCTGCCACTGCCTAAGCCATGTGTGGTTTCCGGCGTTCCAGGCACATGTATGAAGATCAAAAAACTAGGTCAGCTATATTTGAGGGAGGAGAAGAGCAGAGTGCTGCATCCCTCATCCGCCTCGGCTCTGTGGCCAAGCAGGCCGCTCTGCTGTTCAGCCTCCATCTCTGTCCGTGCCCGCCTTTTTCTTTCAAATAACAAATCTACTCTCATCTCCTGTCTGGCATCAAGACAACATCAGAGATACAGCAAAACAGTTAAGACACACTGAGACACAGACACCGGAGAGACGTGAGGACACTCATTACCTCAAATGAACCCCCGTTATTTCACTTACTCTACTTCTAATGGCTGACAACTGTGTTATAGTATAGTCAGTACAACAACTGAAGCTTTGAGCCTATGCAATCGCTGCTGAGCATATAACATGATGTGCACCATAAACACGTTATCTAACATCTTCCGGAGTGAGCAGCTTGCCACTAAAGCTTACCTCAAATTTATAGAGGATTTGGTAAAGGAAATGATAGCATAACATGTTATGTAAGAATTTTACTTGAGTACGCTGCATAGTTGCGTAGCGTGGCACTGAAAAGTGCATCTGCTAACTGTGTCTGTTAGCTGAGTCTGCACAGTGCTATGTGATACAATGTGTGTACAGTGGCTGCACAGTGTGCTTTTGCATTGGAAAGTAAAATACGAGGCAAGCTGGGCTTATGAAACCGGGGTTCCAGGTTAGCGGCCGAACTATGACGAGGACGATTCTGTGGTTGTGTTTGTTTTGGAAAACACTGTGCATGACTATAGCTTGGATCGTCCAATTATGGAAGGATTTTAATAAAATGCTTCGCAAAGATGACAACATATTTGCGCAGTGAGGCGAAGGCGCCGTTTATGGGCGACCAAATGTCACATAAACTTAAAAACATGATGAGACTAAGTATGGTACAGTTTCAAGACATTGGTTTCATGCAGGATAACCACCGCTCCACTCGGCTTTATCTTCAATAAGGTGCTGGAAGTATCAACAAGCTCAAACTGATCTATGCAGTGTGCACTTTATTTTAGCTTTTGGTCTAAAGGAGCTTCATGTTTGCTCTGATGAAGCTCCTTTAGAGTTGTGTTTGAGAAATGTCAATGATTTTGTTTTTCTTCTTTCATTTCACTGAAAATCCAAACAATTCCCATATAATATTAAAAACTATTAGCAGACTCTTGAAACTCTAGTCAGTCAGTCAGTATCTGTCATTTACAATCATTGTATTGATTAACAGTGCAGTATTATTGATTGGCAAGCGCCAATCAGAGCAACAAAGGCCCTTACGCAGCTGAAAGCAGACTACTCAAAAACAAAAGTGTGATATTTTCACTTCATCCCTACCAGCTAGTGTACTGCTGTCAGTGTGTGTGTGTGTGTGTGTGTGTGGGGGGGG